GGCTTTTTATTAGGCACTTAGCAGTAAGCTAGTAGTTAATTAGATAGTAGGTTATATAGGGGTATTAATTAGGATTAATTAGATTAAGATACTTTGTAATCTAGTTAATATCCCTCCTATAACACACCCCCTAGGTATAGGTAGATCTTTTGTTATTATAGTTGCGCTTATAGTTAGTAGGTAGTATAGCTAATTAGAGCGTTATATATCTAAAGGGTTAAATTAGCTTACCCTTTAGATACTAACTAGCGCGCCTTCCTTATTTAGCCTACGCTTACGCGTGTAGATATTGTCTAGATAGAGCTCTATAACTCTATCTACCTAACTATAATCTTTACTATAGCTTAAGTTATGAGATTATATAACCCTAAAGATCTAAACTATACCTATATCCCTGCTAACCTATATCTTAGTTAAAGTTAAAACCTACTACTTACGCTTGCTCTACCTACGCTACCCTTATTACCTTCTGCGCAGCTAAAGCTATAGTTACTAAAGCTACTACTACTAAAGAAGAGCGCGCTACTACTAAGCGTAAGGCTATTATAGAGTATATAGTAGCTAAGTATATAGCTGCTACTACTATAGCTAAGATTATAAAGCTAAGGAAGGTTATTCCTACTCTAGCTCCTACTACTCTAGCTCTAACTCTAGCTCCCGCTCCTCCCTAGACCCTGCCCCCTATCCCTGCTCCTGCTCCTACTCCCTCTCTAGCTCCTAAGGAGACCCTAAGATCCTCCTATTATAGAGAGCCTAGTATTTATTATACTAAAACTTGTCTAAATTATCTACGCTTAGCGCTCTTTAATAAGTCTAATAGCAAGTACTATAACTTTTCTAGTAGGGGGACTTAGTGCTAGTAGTACTTCTCTAGGTATAGCTATGTCCCTATATATATAATCTATATAAGAATTTTTCCTTTATAATACTTAGCAAGATCTATACTAATAAACTAATAGCCCTAAGCTTGCCTAACGTTCTACGCTATCCTTCCTAGCAAGGAAGTAGGTAGGTAAGAGCTAAGACCTTCTTAAGGATAAGAAGCAGAGGGTCTTAGTGCTCCTTAAGGAGAGCAAGGCTAAATAGTAGGAGCTAGTAAAAGCTACTGCTACTGCCGCTAAGCTTGCGCGTAAGGCTACTACTATAGCTAAGGGAGCCTAGAGCTCCTTATTAGAAGATAAGGACTCTAGCTCCTCTAAGGTTCCCCCTATAGATCCTAGGTTAGGGTAACCTAGGTAGCTCCCTATAGACTCTAAGGCACACTTTGCGCGCG